AAAAAAAAAAAAAAAAAAAAAAAAAAAAAAAAAAAATGATCGGGAGAGAGGGGAGAGGACCGTTGGGAGGGTTGTCACGGCCCTCCCCTCCTATGGACAGGGACCGTCGGTTTTACCTGTGTATTTTTGGATCCGGTAGTTGCTGTAGTTCGAACTGGAGACCTGGGACCCTGCGTTGGTATAGGATCGGGACCTGAGATCATCTCAAGTTACCCTGGTACCTGTGGTAGCAGTTGATCAGTTAAGATAGCCTGTTCTGTTTGTCTCATAAATAGAAAGCGTACGATGTTGTTTTCCCTCTTACAGGTCGAACGTAGCTCACTGACCGCTATCATTTGGATAACGGCGTTAAGTGAGTACGGGAGTGGGTTGGTGGACGGGAGGAGTCTGTAAAGGAAGATGGCCGGTGGAACCCCCTGAGGAGACAGTGGCAGCTGTCGAAACGCGACGTCGGGGATGCCATACCTGTAATTTGGTTTCTTTGAACATTTTACGTATGCTTGTCTCATATGTCTGTTTTGATGTATGGACTTTGACATTCAGTATTACCTTACCTTTTGCGGCGCGTGTGAACACTTATGGAGTCGAATACCGGAGGAGGTGAGCATGTTATCGTCTACAACGACTGGAGTTTTTCCCGAAGTTCTTCGAAGTGACGTTGGCGTGATTAGGAGTCATTGAAGATCAGGACACATGATGATATCCAGCCTTCAGGTTATCACAGTTGTGACGATCTGTCGTTGGTTGGCGACGTGTCTTTGAGCTCAATATTAGTCCATAATACGGACGATGGCGAGCGACCATCACGACAGCTCGGGCCAAGGTAGCAGCCGGGACCGAGGCCAGCGACGCGACCCCATGACTTGTTATGCATGCGGGGAGGAAGGCCATTACTCGACCCAGTGCAAGAACCCGCGACCGGGATGGCGGGGTGCGCGGCCGTCTAGTTCGTATGATTCCAGGCAGGGACGTTCAAGCTCCCCACGTAGGAGCTATCGCGATGACCGGGAGGTGCAGTCTCAGATGAGAGACATCGGACGTAGTGTCGCATTGATGAGGGAATACATCGAAGCTGACCGGGCGGCCAAGGAAGCTAAAGCAAGACTGAAGGAGGAGAGAAAGGAAGCTGAGAGACGCGAACAGGAGCTACGAGAGGCCAAGGCAAGAAAGGCCAAGAAGAAGGCGAACAAAGCCAAACTGGAAGAGCAGCGAATTGCGGCCATGAAGAAGGATATGGATATACAAGTGAAGTTGACTGTGAAGGAAGCAATGAAGGATGTCCTCCTTGGTACGGAGATTCCGGATGCCTTAGTTGCTGCTAAGCTACTCGAATCGAAAGGGAAGCAGAAGGTGACGTATGCAAGCGACGACGAGTATCTTTCCGACTTTGAACGTGTTAGTGGTGAAGCTGAGGAGATCCCGGGGCGGACCGGGAAGCTGACGATCCAAGAAAAGCGGAAGAGAGGACCGGACCCAGTCTTTGAAGACAGTCCGCTCATGGAACTGCAAGCTAAGCGCACTCCGAAGCGGACGCCGAGACGTGGTACCCGCGGGACTGTGCACCTTACGCCGAGGATGACCAGATCCAAAACGAAGTCGAAGGTAAGACTGTCACCGAATACCAAGGAGAAAATCAAGGCTGCCGCTAAGCGGAAGATTCCAGCAAGTTGTGGGATCGTTGGGCGATATAAGTTCCGGGACGAGGTCATCCATCAGTTGAAAATTCTGGATGCTATTACGCTACAGAATATTTGCAACGAGGAAGGGGTGTCGTATAATGGGAAGATTGATGCCATTTTTGACCTCGTTGATCATTGGACTCACATCGCATACTGTACCGAAGAAAAGGAAGCAGAACATGAGGAAGTGAAACCTGAAGAAGAGGAGGTGACCTCTGCGGACGAAGCGGACGAGGGTAACGAGAACGTGAACTGATGTGGCTTTGGTATTGCCGAGTATTGGAGGCTTTGCGACGTTTTGATTGAACTGCGCGGTAAGTTGTCGACATATGACTGTAGGATTGAAGAACTCTTACGTTTGGTAGTGGTGAGACTGTCGATTGTCGGATGCGTCCGCTGGAATTTGAAATGCGTGGAATCTAGGGTTAGACATTACGAGAAGTATGGGGTAGAGTTTTTACGCCTTAAGAATGTCGTTTATATTGTTGTATCCCCTTACTGTCGCTCGAAGTATATCAGGAACACTTGTTGTGATGTCAACATACGGTGGGGCGAGCATTTGTACGCATGTAGGATCAAGCCTCATACGCATTTCTACAGATAGATGAACTGTTTTGGTGCGAGGAACTATGTGTTGATCCCTCTCGATACTATCGAAGGAAAAGAGTTTGATGATTTGGAGTGTACGTACATCAGACAGTGGTGCCCTGTCTTGAATACCTCAGGACCTAGGAGGAAGGGTAGGACTAAAGCGATAACGAGAAAAGGGGCCAGTGAGCGACGAAGGTCGACCCCACAACCGACAAAACCTTGTTGAGTCATTTCACCCATTCGATTCAAAAGTATTGGGTATTCCTAGAATTTTGTCAACTTTGGTAAATTCTTATCTTAGTGTCATTTGAGAGGTAGCACCCGCTTGGTGTTTCAGTCTGAAAGCGGGAATACGTGGCATACTCCATGGAAGAAAATTAAAAAGCGCTACGGGGATAGTAAAGTCAAACATACTGGTGGGAACTGTTTTCTGAAAGATGCGAAGCAGTTAGTCGAATTAGGAGGGTGTTTTGAGATTACTCATCTTGTCGTATGGAAACCACGCTGTCGAACCCTTAAGCTTGTTCTTGTGAAGATTTTGAAAAACCTGGGACGTTTGAATGAGTTACATGGATGGAGTATGCGGTCCATGCTACTGTTGTACGGTGTTATTATGACTTTAGCCAGAAATCTACTTGGAAGTACCTACGTCGTTTGTTGCAGAGAGTCTTTAAGAATCGATTTGATCTGAGTTTGAGTGCCCACCTGATTGTGCGTTTGAAGTTCGATGATAGAATCCGTTTGTCAGAGTTGAGAAAGATCATGAATGACTTCGTAATGGATTGTGACTTACCAGCGTGTTTTAAAGCACGTGCACGGAAGAAGATACGCCTGGTCTGGACTAAAAACCAGTCGGTGGGCGATCTTCTGCACAATCAGCAGCAGTACGCTGCTCGAGAAGTGTTGACCTGCAGTTGCGCAAGCTTACCCTTCCACCGGGTGAATGGACACGTGCTCTTCCGCCTTAGCACCCTGTGTGAATCATTACCCTTGCTAAGCAATGCTAATAACATACCGATCCACGAGATCGGAGACATGACTCTATCCCTACAGAAGGAGGTTGAGTCAAGTTTTGACTAATGGGCCAACCAGCGCGGTAAGCCGATTCGTGTAGACATTAAGGTTTTGGATTCTTGCTTTATGCGGAGAAGTTCGGAAACGACAGCTTACCTGTCCCTGAGTGACGTTTTGGATGTTAAACAACAGTTGGAGGGCTTGATTTGTACACCTCTGGATCGCAACCCCGGTGAAACCCTTGTGTTGTGCCCAAAGGTATACTTCGATGCAATGATGTCTACGTTTGTCATGAATAGCGGGTATAGTGTTGTAACTCAAAATGAAGAACACGTGTTACGGATGATGCATGAAGACATGGTTAGTCGAGGTTTGAAGCAGATGGTGAAGTGGGACAAGAAGGGGTATATCGGTACAGCCTATGTTGTGCCAAAACACAAGGATGTATGCAGATATAGACCTATATGTCCTACATTCGGTGAACCAATGGTACGCACCGGCAGGCTTGTTGCGAAAGGTTTAAACCATTTGTTGTTTACGCTGCCAAAAGACTGGCACTTCAACATGCAAGCTCTGTCTCAGTTATCGGGGCGCTTTGATCGTATCAACAAGGTTGTCTCTGTAGGAACGCGGGAGGTCCGATTGACAGCGATGTCTTATGACATCAAGGAGATGTTTAGCCGTTTACCGCACTCAAACATTATTCGCTCAGTGGCTTGGATTGTCGAGTATCACTTGTCGAAAGGCAGGAGTTTCGTACGGGTAAATACTAGAGGGAGAGGTTGTACATTTGGACTCACTACGGGCGGCGAACACTGGAGGAAGTTGCACCTGAAAGACATCACCAGTTTTGTGGAGTTGGAGCTCAAGCATACGTTTACATATGTCACGCGAGTACTGTTGCAGCAGGAAGTTGGGATCCCAATGGGTAAGAGTACAACCCCGCCTTTGGCTTGTATCATGTGTGCCCATGCAGAGTTCCTTTTCCTATGAAGTTTGGGTAATTGGAGGAGACAGGTTTTCGGAATTCGTCTGATCGATGACGTGGCACTTTTTTTGCTTAACACCCCGGAGACTGTAACTTTGAAAATACGTTCGGGCTTCGAGGGATGCTACCCCAAAAACTTGTCGTTGAAAAGGACTGATGATTCGTCAGGTGTGTTTGACTTCTTGGGATGCACAGTGCGTACGCAGTGTTCTTACCCATTTGTAGGGTATATGCAGATGTCCAAAAATGAAGAATGTATGTGGAAGAACGACGCGCTTGATTTCCAAACTGGACAGTCCTACCTGTCTTGGGGCTGTAAGAGGCAGAAGAGTGCGATTGTCGCTGGCTACTTGCACCGAATCGACCATAATACGTCGATCCGGTCAGAAATCCCGATGAGGGTCATTAGCCTGAAGAGGGAACTGCAACTCAAGGATTTCCCTTTTCATTTCTTTCTTCGTGTCGTTCGGAGATTTGCCAAAACGAGGGACGAGATCTGGCAGAGCACTTTGCAGATCGTATCGACGATGACGTGTTAGGATTGGTTGTGTAATAGCCGTATCTGAACCACCGCTAATGACTGTGCCACACCACCTGGCGTATTTGTTCTTTCCGTGTGCTTAGAATTGTCTTAACGTAGCTGCTGTTTCCTTTCGGCTATTTTTTCTTGAGTAGGATGAAGTCTACGATGTGGTTTGAGATAGCTTACAACTCGACTAGGTGAGTGATTGATTGTGTGTGTACTTACCTCGATGTATGAACAGGGACCGCCGGTACTAAATATGGACAGGGACCGTCGGTCTTACCTGTATATTTTTGGATCCGGTAGTTGCTGTAGTTCGAACTGGAGACCTGGGACCCTGCGTTAATATAGGATCGGGACCTGAGATCATCTCAAGTTACCCTGGTACCTGTGGTCTTAGCCTTTAGCAGTTTATCATTTAAGATAGCCTGTTCTGTTTGTCTCATAAATAGATAACATATGATGTTGTTTTCCTCCTTACAGGTCGAATGTAGCTCACTGACTGCTATCATCCGGATGACGGCGTTAATTTAGTACGGGAGTGGGTTGGTGGATGGGAGGAGTCTGTAAAGGGAGATGGTCGGTGGAACCCCCTGAGGAGACAGCGGCAGCTGTCGAAACACGGCGTCGGGAATGCCATACCTGTAATTTGGTTTCTTTGAACATTTTACGTATGCTTGTCTCATATGTCTGGTGTGATGTATGGACTTTGACATTCAGTATTACTTTACCTTACCTTACCCTCGTATATTTTCTTATTTGAAAAAAAACTATAAAATAACAAGGAAAAAAAAAAAAGAGGGGTGGGGAGGAGACCATTGGGAGGGTTGTTGCAGCCCAGCCATGTGGCAGGGCGCCGATCACCTGGCCCTCCTCCCCAACCTTTTTTTTCCCCAAGAGAACCAAAAAAATAACAAAAAATAAAATAAAATAAGTAATAGTAAAAAAAAAAAAGAAACATAGAAAGAAAATGAAGAAAAAAAAAAGGAGGAGGGGAATGGACCGTTGGGAGGGTCGTCGCGGCTCTGTTGTTTGGCAGGGCGTTGATCGCCCTAAAGAGGAAAACAAGAAAGCGGAGGGGGGG